CAGATTCAATATAAAGTAAAGCCAAGAAGCAAACAATCGACTTGGAATATAAGGAAGCCAAAAACACCCAATCAGAACAGCAAAAAGTAAAAAGATCCAAAAAAATGAGGACAGTGTAAGGAGCCTCTGGGAAAATGTCAAGCATACCAACATTCGCATCATGGGGATGCCAGAAGGAGAAGAGAGAGCAAGGAACTGAAAAACTTTTTGAAAAAATAATGGCAGAAAACTTCCCTAACTTGGTGAAGGAAACAGACACACACATTCAGGAAGCACAGAGAGTCCCAAACAAGATAAACCCCAAGAGGCCCACACCAAGACACATCATCATCAAAATGCAAAAGGTTCAAGACAGAGAGAGATTCTAAAAGGCAGCAAGAGAAAGGCACCTAGTTACCTACAAGGGAGTACCCATAAGGCTGTCAGCTGATTTCTCAAAAGAAACTTTGCAGGCCAGAAGGGAGTGGCAAGAAATATTCATATTGATGAAAAGCAAGAACCTACAACCAAGATTACTCTATCCTGCAAAGCTGTCATTTAGAATCGATGGCCATATAAAGTGTTTCCCGGACAAGGAAAAGCTAAAGGAGTTCATCACCAGCAAACCATTATTTTATAAAATGTTGAAGGGTCTTCTTGAAAAAAAAAAAAAGATAAAAAATATGAACAAACAAAATGGCAATAAATACATATCTATCAACAATTGAATCTACAAAAAAAATACACAAGGAGAACAGAAACAGTCTCATACATAACGGAGAATATTTTGTTCATTGCCAAGATGGGAGTGAGGTTGGGGGAATGGGTGAAAAAGGTGAAAGGATTAACAAGTACAAATTGGTTGTTAGTCTGACAAACCTCAAAGGGAAGGGGAGGGGATAAACCAAAGAACTTATATGCATGTATGCATAACCAATGGATACACACAACAGTGTGGGGAACAGCAGGAGGGGAGCACGAACAGGGAGGAGATCAAGAGGGAGAAAAGGAGGAACATCTATAATACATTCAACAATAAAGATAAGTTAGAAAAAAAAACTTCTGGAGGACATCAAAGAAAAAATCAACAACAATACAATCATAGCAAGGGACTTCAATACCCCACTGACATCACTGGATAGACCTTATAGACAAAAAATTAACAAGGAAACAGAGACCTTAAATGATGTAATAGATATCTACAGAGAATTAATTATACCCCAAAACTAGAGCATTCACATTCTTCTCAGGGGAATGGGACATTCTCAAAGACAGACCACATGTTAGGACAAAACTAAGTCTCTACAAGTACAAGTAATTAAAATAATATCAAGCATCTTCTCAGATCACAATGGCATAAAACTACAATTAATTATAATGAAAACACTCAAAACTATTCAAACTCCTGGAGGCTAAATAGCATGTTATTAAACAACACATGGGTTACCAAAGAGATCAAGGAAGAAATAAAAAACTTCCTGGAAACCAATGAAAATGAATACACAACACCACAAAAACTATGGGACGCAGCAAAAGCAGTCCTGAGAGGGAAGTTCACAGTACTAGAGAGCTACCTCAAGGAACAAGAAGAATTTCTAATTGACTATCTACCCCTACAACTTAAAGGACTAAAAAGTAAAAAAAAAAAAACAGAGCAAGTAGAAGGAAGGAAATAGTTAAGATCAGAGCAGAAATAAATGACACGGTGACCAAAAAAACAATTCAAAGGATCAATGAAACAAAGAGCTGGTTCTTTAAAAAGATAAACAAGATTGATGGACCCTTAGCTAGACTCACCAAGAAACAAAGAGAGAGAACCCAAATAGACAAAAATCAGAAATGAAAGAGGAGAAATAATAACTGACACCACAGAAATACAAAGGATTGTTAACACATATTATGAACAATTATACGGCAACAAATTCAACAATCTAAGCAAAATGAACAAATTTCTAGAAAGACACAGTCTCCCAAAACTGGACCGGGAAGAGATAGAAAACTTGAATAGACCAATAACAACAAAAGAAATTGAAGATGTATTCAAGACTCTCCCGGCAAACAAAAGCCCAGGCCCGTACCACTTCACGGGATAATTTTCCTGAACATTAAAAGAAGAATTAATACCCATTCTCCTCAAACTATTTCAAAAAATTCAAGAAGAAGGAAGACTTCCAAACTTGTTTTATGAGGCCATCATAATTCTAATTCTAAAACCAGAAAAAGACACTACAAAGAAATAAAACTACAGGCCAATATCCCTGATGAACAGAGATGCCAAAATCCTGAACAAAATACTAGCAAATCAAATCCAGCAATACATCAAAAAAATTATTCACCATTATGAAGTGGAATTCATCCCAGGGATGCAAGGCTGGTACAATAGTCACAAATCAATAAATGTAATACATCACATAAAAAAATGAAAGATAAAAATCATATGATCATATCAATAGACGCTGAAAAAGCATTTGACAAAATCCAGAACCCATTTCTGATAAAAATGCTCAGCAATGCGGCAATAGAGGGATCATATATCGACATAATAAAGGCCATATATGAAAGACCTACAGACAACATCATACTCAATGGGCAGAAACTAAGCCCTGGCCAGTTTGGCTCAGCGGTTAGAGTGTCGGCCTCCAGTCCGGAGAGACCCGGGTTCGGTTCCCACTAAGGACACATACTTCGGTTGCAGTTTGTCCCTGGCCCTGGTTGGTCATGCAGGTGGCAGCCACTCGATGTGTCCCTTCACGTTGATGTTTCTCTCTCTCTCTCCCTTCCTCTCTCTCCCTCCCACTCTATCTGTACAAAAATTGAAAAAATATCCTCGGGTGAGGATAAAAAAATGAAATAAAATAAAATAAAATAAAATAAAATAAATAAATAAATAAATAAATAAATAAATAAATAAATAAAAGTATTTCCCTTAAGAACAAGAACAAGACAAGGATGCCCACTTTCACCACTCTTATTTAACATAATACTAGAAGTCTTAGCCACAGCAATCAAATAGGAAGAAAAAATAAAACGGATCCAAATTGGAAAGGAGGAAGTGAAACTGTCATTATTCGCAGATGACATGATACTACACCTAGAAAACCACAAAGACTCCATCAAAAATTTACTAGACTTAATAAATGAATTTGACAAAGTAGCAAGATACAAAATTAATGTCAAGAAATCGACGGCATTCTTATATACTAATGACGACCTGACAGAAAGAGAAACTGAAAAAACAATCCCATTTCCCACGGCAGCAAAAAAATTAAGATACCTGGGAATAAACTTAACCAAAGAAATAAAAGACCTATTTGCAGAAATCTACAGGACATTGAAAAAAGAAATAGAGGAAGACATAAAAAGGTGGAAGCACATACCTTGTTCATGGATTGAAAGAATTAACATCATTAAAATGTCCATATTACCCAAAGCAATCTATAGATTCAATGCAAACCCCATCAAAATACCAATGACATACTTCACAGAACTAGAACAAATACTTCAAAAGTTCATATGGAACCAAAAAAGACCTCGAATAGCCACAGCAATCTTGAAAAAGAAGAACAAAGTTGGAGGGATCACATTACCAGATTTCAGATTATACTACAAAGCCACTGTAATCAAAACAACCTGGTACTGGCACAAGAACAGGCAGATCGATCAATGGAACAGAATAGAGAACCCAGAAATGGACCCAAGACAATATGCTCAATTAATATTTGACAGAGGTGGCAAGAGCATACAGTGGAGTGAAGACAGCCTCTTTAATAAATGGTGTTGGGAAAATTGGACAGATACATGCAAAAAAATGAAACTAGTCAATGGATAAAAGACTTAAATGTGACTCCTGAATCCATAAAAATCCTAGAAGAAAATGTAGGCAACAAAATTTCAGACATCATACACTGCAAACTTTTCACTGATACATCACCTAAGGCAACAGAAACAAAGGAGAAAATGTACACATGGGACTACATCAAACTCAAAAGCTTCTGCACAGCAAAAGATACAATCATCAAAATGGAAAGGCAACCCACTGTATGGGAGAACATAATGGCCAATGAGATACTAGATAAGGAGTTAATTTCCAATATATAGAGAGTGCTCATACAATTCAACAAAAGGAAGATAAAGAACCCAATTAAAAAATGGGCAGAGAAACTAAATAGACACCCCTCCAAAGAGGACATACAAATGGCTAAGAGACATGAAGAAATGCTCAACATCACTAATCATCAGAGAGATGCAAATTAAAACAACAATGAGGTATCACCTCACACCTGTCAGAATGGCCGCTATCAACAAATCATCAAACAACAAGTGTTGGTGAGGGTGTAGAGAAAAGGGACTCTAGCACACTGCTGGTGGGAACGCAGACTGGTGCAGCCACTATGGAAAACAATATGGTGTTACCTCAAAAAATTAAAAATTGAACTGCCATTTGACCCAGTGATCCCACTTCTAGGAATATACCCTATGAAGCCTGAAATGCCAATCAGAAAGAATATATGTACCCCCATGTTCATAGCAGCACTATTTACAATAGCTATGATCGGGAAACAACCCAAATGTCCACCAGTAGACAAATGGATAAAAAGGCTGTGGTACATATATACACAATGGAGTACTATTCCGCTGTAAGAAAGAAAGATCTCTTATCCTTTGAGACAACATGGAGGGAACTGGAAAGTATTATCCTAAGCAAAACAAGCCAAACAGAGAAAGACAAGTATATGATCTCACTTATTTGTGGAATATAATGAACATAACAGTCTGAGTAATGGGGTAGTCCCAGAGACATGGAAGTGGGGTACAGACTGACAATCCTCACAAGAGGGGTACAGGGGGAGAGATAAACCACAGAACTTATATGCATGTATGCATGAACAATGGATATGGACAGCAAAGCTGGGAACAGGATGGGGAGGGAGAGGGATGGGGGAATCAGTGGGGGGAAAGGAAAAACATCTGTAACAAAAATAAATTAATTAATTTAAAAAAACATATGTATATACACCTACCTTAGATTTCTCTTAATATATTTTTTCCTGCCACATTTTTTCATTAGTAAGACATTTGTAATCAATGCTTTGCTCCTTCCCCATTTTCTTCTTTATCCTGCAGTAAAAGTATAATGTTGAATTGGGAGATCATTTTTTTTTTTTTAATTAAAATCTCTCAAAACTATACCATAAAAATACTCTAATTTCTATAAAACTGAAAAAACAATATGGAAAGCTGAAAACTCTGTATTTATTTCAATTTTACTTCTATTCAATTTTATGATGTTCCTAGGAAGAAATTTCAGAATCCTTAAATCATGTGCTATTCTCAGATTCTTTTCTACTGAAGAGAAAACAGTGCTGTTTGAATCATTTAAGATTCACTATGTATTGCTCATAGATAGGTATCAGCTCTATTTTTAAGTATGTTTTTATTGGATTTTTTTTTTTTTTAGCGAGAGAGACAGGAAGGGGGAGAGAGAGATAGAAACATTGATCAGCTGTCTCTTGCATGCTCCCTACTGGGGATTGAGCCTGCAACCCGGGAATGTGCCCTGATTAGGAACTGAACTGGGAGATCTCAGTCCATGGAACAATGCTCAACCCACTGAGCCACACCGGCCAGGTTCAGCTCTATTTTAAATGGCAATACTCATTTAATAAACTGAATAAACCATTTTCTTTATTTTTTCCTTTACTAATTTTTAGAGAGAGAAAGGAAGGGGGGGAGAAGGAGGGAAGGAGGAAGAACCAACGAGATAGAGAGAGAGAAACATCGATTTGTTGTTCTATTTATTTATGCATTCATTGGTTGATTCTTGTATGTGCCATGACTGGGGACAAAACTCACAATCTTGGTGTATAGGGACAACACACTAACCAACTGAGCTATCTGGCCAGGGCAAATCATTTTCCTAAATTTCACTCCAGTGCAACAAATTTGTCAGTCATTTTTCATTTACCTTAAATTTGAAACTGGATTTTGCCAAAGAATTTTAACTCCACATAAAATATTAACAGTTCATTTAAAATCTCCTTCAACCTATTAAAAAAGCTGTCTTAGACACTCTAGCAAATAACCCATATTTTTAACTAATATCTTTTTTTTTTTAATATGTTTTTATTGATTTTTTTAGAGAGAGAGGGAGAGGGAGGTAGAAACATTGATTACCTGCCTCCTGTATGCCCCCTACTGGGGATTGAGCCTCCAACCTGGGCATGTGCCCTGACCAGGAATTGAACAAGTGACCTCTTTGTGCATGGGACGATGCTCAATCCACTGTGCCACAGTAGCCAGGGTACTAATAGTTTTTAAAAATATGCATTTGGCATGCTGAATGAAGTAAAATTGGCATAAAAGATAAAAGGATATCTGGGAATCCTTATTTTAGGGTAGCAAAGGGCAAATGTGCACATCCAGAAGTACCTTCTGGTCATCTCTCTAGCAACAGTGGTGCTTAGTCACAGACATACTGCCTTCAGGGTTTCCTCTAGAGTCGTCCCCTCTAGGGTAGTGTTATACCATTACCGTCAATTCTGAAACTAAGTTTGCCCCACTTCACTAAGGGCACTAAAGCAATGGTTATTTTTGCTAGCACCTGTCCCTCAGTACAGGGACAAGAGATGATCGGGCATTTGAACCAGGCTACCTAAAACATGAACAAAAAGAAGCGAGGATGGTGCCACTCCTTCAGATTAAACCTTATTCTATGTTATATCATGCTGTCATTTTACATGGGGACATCTCATCTTCCATAAAAATTGTGACAAGGACCATTTCTTTATTAAAGTAAATGGCACCCATGATATGCCAGGTCCTTGTGCTTGGTACCAGAGACACAGATAATAAAATGTCCCTGCTCTCCAGGAGCTTGCAATCTAATGAGGGAAAGAGATATTTAAACACAGAATAATAGTAATATTACTGAAATAATAATGATGATCAGGACACTGTATAAGAAGAAGTAACTGCTAATTTCTTTTTTTTTTTTTAAAGAAATCTTATTTATTTTTAGAGAGAGCAAGCGGGGGAAAGAGAAAAATATTAATGTGAGAGCATAACATCAATGGGCTGCCTCTAGCACGCCTCTACTGGGAATCAAGCCTACCACCTGACGTGTGCCCTGACTGGAAATTGAACCACCAACCTTTTGGTGAACTGGACAATGCCCAACCAACTGAGCCACACCAGCCAGGACATAACTGCTAATTTCTATATTTTTCTTGAAAGTATCATTTTCTTTAGTTTAATTTTTAAATAAGTAACACATTCTTATGATTCAGAATTCACAAAGTAGAAAAAGGTATTCAGTGAAGTCCAAGAGTTGAATCTGCACACACACAGACACCTAAATGGTTAAGAGTTCAAATGTCCTAATATGTTCTTGTGATGGGCTTAATACACTATATAAATAGTCTATTTAGCCTAAAACATACCTCTTCAATCCATCATCATGCTGCATGAGGTTATAATTTCTAAGCTGATCTCCTTATGCCTAAAATCACAGAAGATACTGATGTAATGTCCCACATACTACCAATATTCTACAAAAGTAATTTTAAAGTGCTATCTGTCAAGGAAGCTTTATTTTTTAGAGTACAAAGGTATATTTTAGACTAGTTTATTGTAGGCAATAATATCTTCAACAAAGAGAGAAAAACTAGTCCAAAAAATTATTTTGCCTACGTGTGGATTTCTGTAGTTGGAAAAAAGCTATTTATCATACTAATAAAAACTTTCTATATTAGTTTTTTTGTTTGTTTTTTATCCTCACCCGAGGACATTTTTTTCATTTTTTGTTCAGATAGAGTGGGAGGGAGAGAGAGGAGGAGGAGAGAGAGAGAGAAATATCGACGTGAAAGGGACACATCGAGTGGCTGCCTCCCACATGACCCAACCAGGGCCGGGGACAAACTGCAACCTAGGTACGTGCCCTTAGCGGGAACCAAACCCAGGTCTCTCTGGACTGCAGGCTGACGCTCTAACCACTGAGCCAAACCGGCCAGGTCTCTATATTAGTTTTGACTACAAAAATGTTTGGCATTCATCTTACTCTTCACCATTGTCTTATTCTATTCACTTTTTGCCATTACAGCTTCAATAAATTTCAATGCTATCAAGTATCTCTTAATACACAGCTCTATGTAGAGGTATTTAAAATATGCTAATTAAAGATAGTACTTACAGTTACACTTACAATTCTGAACACCTACTCTGCTGTGCTTAATTACATTACTATCTTAATTTAACTTCCTGGAAAAAAATAGGTATGTATAAGAATAAAACTTCTTGGGCAACTTTACAAGAATATAAAAGATTACCTAAACAATTTCTACCTCATCAACCAACTCGCTGTATTAACCAATTCTCCATTCCTTCTGTAAAACCTTCTGTTTAGCTAATGCCTTCCTCCCACCAGTTCTTCTCTAGTGTACCCAAGCACTTCGCTCCTATGAGCTGGGGTATAAACTTACTAAGAGTTTTATATTTATCACCAAACTTGATTATGCCAGCTATATTTACTGATGCAATTTGGAATTCTGTTAAATAGCATGTTAGATAAAATTATTAAATAAATAAAATAATTTTAAAAGATAGGTGGTCCTATGAATGCTTTGGAAAGACAATAAAGGCAGATTGCTTTTTTAAAAATCATGCTTTTGGACCAGACATTACAGTTGAAGAGAACTACAAAATACTGGGGAAATATTACATAAATGTAGAATTCTCTATAAAGACACTTGTAAAATAATCTAAGTTCTTGCTCCACTTTCAAAACCACAAATAGAAATTACAAATTACTCATTGGAATCATTTTTTTGCAGGAAAGGCAAACAAACAAAAAACCACCATTGCAATTAGCATAGTCAAATTAAAAGGAAAAGAATGTGAAGTAAAAGGCAGCATACCTCTTGCCCTGGCTGGGTTGCTAAGTGGTTAGAGCATTGGCCCACAGACCAAAGGGTCTCGGTTGGACTCCAGTCAAGGACACGTACCTCAGTTGCGGTTCAATCCCCAGCCCTGGTCAGGGTCATGCAGGAGGCAACCAATTGATATATCTCTCTCTCTCCCCCTCTCTCCCCTCTCTCTTCCTCCCTCCCTCCCTCTATCTGAAAATCAATGGAAAAATATCCCCCAGTGAAGATTTTTTTTAAAAAGACAGTATACTTGTTGCCCTGGCCAGTTTGGCTCAGCAGTTAAGAGCGTCGGCCTGCGGTCTGAAGAAACCTGGGTTCGGTTCCCGCCAAGGGCACATACCTCGGTTGCAGTTTGTCCCCGGCCCTGGTTGGGTCGTGTGGGTGGCAACCACTCAATGTGTCCCTTTCACGTTGATGTTCTCTCTCACTTTCTACCCCTCCCACTCTATCTGAACAAAAAATATCGAAAAATGTCCTCCAATAAGGATAAAAAATAAAAATTAAATAAATAAATAAATAAAAAGACAGTATACTTGTTAATGGAAGCAGGAAGAGAAAGAGAATACAGAAAAGCACATAATGTTTCTTTGGTTCTGGAATGAAGCAAGGTTTTAGTTCTTTGGGGAAGTAGATCTTCATAGGTTAACTATGATTTAAGTAGCAACAGCAAGTAAGATTTAAAAGACCAAGAAAGAAGAATATGTAGCTCATATTGTAAAGCTGGTCCTTCTAAACTAAGTAGGTTGGAAAACTGGAAGAAGCAGGGCTAGCTAGAAGACAAGTAATTCTAAAGAACCATGTATCAATTTCAGATACATGGGATGAGCCTAAGGCTATTATACATTTTAGGCAAGGAGATGAATATAGGTAGGCACTTTTGAAGTTGTGTAATCTTTTTGAAGCAATAAATAGCATAACTGTCAAGAACAATCTACACTTTTGTGTAAGAATATAAATAGCTAGGAACAGTGCTTGTAAACAGTTATTTGAAACACTTGTACATAATGTCTTTAATATTCTGAACATAAATCATACATAAAATTGGGTGACTTTCTAGTATAGATTCAAGGACACTCGAACTTAATTGCTTCAGATACCTGCCATATTTAAGAAATCTTTACTAAAATCACTAAAAGATTAACTATTCAAGCAACTCTTTTTCAATTCATTCTGCTCTTGGTGCCTGCTTTTGGCTATTTCGCAATCAATGAACACCAGAATGGGCAGCTAAGGAAGAAATGAAAAATAAATTCAAAGAAGCATGGCCTACACCACCACCACCACCACCACCACCACTAACTTCATAAAGGGAAATAAAATTTAAAATCTCTTGGGGAGTTATTTGCTGGACTATAGTCATTGGGTCCTGTCTGGTATATTTGAACAAAACCGATATCTTTCTAGATGCAGAAATGTGGTAGGTGGGTAAACACGAGCAGAGCAAGGATGATGGGCCAGGTACAGAAGGTCACCAGGGTGGAAAGCCCCAAGTGCCTACTAAAGGACAATTAATTATAGGGTGGGACCTTGCCCCCAAGGTGACCTTTGCTCCCCTAACTTATCACTGGTCATACAGTTTGGACCCCCTGATCTTTCCTCTCTAGAAATAAAATCTAGCCCTGGCCGGTTTGGCTCAGCGGTTAGAGTGTTGGCCTGCGGTCCGGAGAGACTTGGGTTTGGTTCCCGCTAGGGGCATGTACCTCGGTTGCAGTTTGTCCCCAGCCCTGGTTGGGTTGTGCGGGAGGCAGCTGCTCAATGTGTCCCTTTCACGTTGATGTTTCTCTCTCTCCTTCTCTCCCTCTCTCTCCCTCCCTTCCACTCTATCTGAACAAAAAATGGAAAAATGTCCTCGGGTGAGGATTTAAAAAAAAAAAATTTAATAGAAATAAAATCTAGCCCTCACTTGTATTTCAACTCCAGGCCCAGAAAAGCAGCTAAACCAGACCAGCATCCCAAGGCTGACCTCAGGACCAGCTGCATTGGAAATGACCCCATTCCCTGGCCCCACCAATCAATCAGTAGAGACATAGGTCCTGGAAGGACACACCTGAAAAGCTGCTGAATATTATTGAGATGTTCCCCCGGGACCTCCCCTAAAATCTCCACCCTTAAAACCCTTAGGCCAGAGAACCCAGCATTCTACCCCCTACACTCCAACCCTCCCTGAGAGCACATCTGAGCCTTTTCTTCCTCCACAGCCTACCCAACTCCCCAGGCTTGTTATCATTACCTTCCTCACTCCCAAGCTCCAAAGGGCCTTCTTTTACCTCTGAAACTTATTTCCTAAGCCCATTTCTTCTACAAATTACTTCTTCTACTTCTATGATTTTCCAAACAAATGTTCTCTTATCATTTGAGTCTTAGGTCTGAATTCTTTCCTAGCCAGAATTCAAGTGCCAAGGTTGCTGAACCCAGGTTCGGTCTGACCCCATCAGTCTAACACCTGGTGCCGTTCCCACTGCAAAAACCAGAAACATGCCTAAATAAGTTAAATTTAACCCCTCCATCAATTTTAAGACTAACAAAAGCGCCCCATGCATCTATATACAGTAAAATTGGTCTTTATGCATGTTATAGTTGCCCCAATTCCAGAGCCAGACGCTTTCATCACAATCAATGTTAGCATAAAAATTCCAGCTTAAAACATTTATCAGGGAAAAAAAAAAAACACTTTCATGCTATCAGTGAAAAATAACTGAGGCTGTTTGAGATTATGAACAAAACTGTATGGCACTTGACATTGTGAATTAGGATGGTCCAATTTTAAGTCTGCTGAGTTTAAAAAAAAAAAAAATAGCTTCACTAAGATAATTTTGAAAAAACTTGTCTGGCTGGTGTGGCTCAGTGGTTCAGCACTGACCCATGCACCAAGAGGTTACCGGTTTGATTCCCGGTCAGGACACATACCCAGGTTGTGGGCCCAATCTCCAGTGGGGGACATGCAGGAGGCAGCCAATCGATGTTCTCCCTCATCGATGTTTCTATCTCTCTCTCCCTCTCCCTTCCTCTCTCTCTCAAATAAATGAAGAAAACAAAATTTTTTTTTTTTAATAAAAAACATGAGTTTGTGAAAATCTCAAAGTAAAATATCAGAATCACATTCGCCCAGTTACAAAATTTCACAGGACTTCATTTTGACATATAATTGGTTTGGTTGTACATTGTTCAGTAAAATATGCATAAAGATGCTTCCAATTTTAGAAGAACTGAGAGGCTTCAAAAGAACCTCATACAAAAATTGCTAGTAAGATGTACTTGAAGACATGTATCAGCAAGACAGTTTATTTAAAGTCTTTAAGCAAAACTCCTATATAACTCCCTAGCCGATGCTTCTCCTTAAAATTGTTTCACTTTTACACCATGTCAGTAATTTCCTCCAACGCTCCTGGGAAGGCCAGTGAAAAGATGTGCAAAATATTTTATTTTTAAACTTTGCTATTACTGACTTATACCAATAAGACTCAAGGTGTCTTCATGAGTAATATCATTATAAATTCCCACTAATGTTATCTTTAAGTTTTCCTCTTCATTCTCCCTTAATCTCTCCTGGATATCCTAGAGCATCAGAAAAAAGAACACCCATG